CAGGGAGGAACCAAGGGGGTTCTAGCACAGGACACGAGGATCCCGCTGTTCCCAAAGGTTGGGATCTCACCTGGAGAGTGCAACCTGCTCCAATTGTGGCATCTCTGCTGGGGCAGGAGCAGGTGAGGCTGCGTGGCCACACACCTCTGGCTCCATGCATGGAAGTGTCACCTGAGCTGTTTATTTCTGATGACATTCAAAGTGGTAATTAAAACAAGGAAGAAAAGAAAAAAAAAGAAAAAAAAGAAAAAAAAAAGAAAATGTTTATTGTTGAACAGTTTGTGTTTGTGAATTTGATTTCACCTGCAAGTATTTGATGACTTTTCTACATCCTAGACTACCTGCTGTGTGTTGTCAAATGGTTCTCATGAACCTCCTTTTAGATGGGCATATACTATTGATTCAATTTGCTGCATGTATGAAAAAAATAAAATATTTAATTTTAAAGAAACCCTGAGAGCTTGGCTTCCTTTGCCCACGAGACCCTGGGGATGAGCCAGTGGCTGGGCATGTGGGGGGTCCTGGGGGCCGGGGTCACCCAGCAGGAAACGGTGAGAAATTTCAGGGGTTTGGTCAAAAAGCTGCGTAACTGTGCATCTGGAGATGGTCAGTGCATGGAGCTGCCCAAATTCAGGTCCCAGAGAGGAGACCTGCAGTGTACGGATGCTGGGGATGGGAAGGATGGGCGCGTTCCTTGTATCACCAGTTAATTGCTCTAATGGGTTACTCAGAGCTGCTGCAGAGGCTCTTCCCAACACCCCAGAGCTCTGGTTCCAGTCTCTAGAGTGGTGCAGGGCTGTGGGCACGAACTGGTTGCACTGGTGAGTGCCCTGCAGCGAGGGCAGGGGGGTCGGGGTCCCCTGGGATCCCCCAGTGCCTGCAGGGTCTCCAGGGACTGGAGGGATCCCCTGGCCGAGGGCACCGTCACTCTGCTCTGTGCCAGGAGAGCTGCATGGCACGTCCTGCCTTTCTCCATCGAGGAACTGCTTTTTTAGGAAGTGCCCTCGTGAAACTGGRTGAGTGTGTTGGGAAGGGCTTCTCCTCCTGCCTTTGGAGATATTAGCTAAGCTTTTAACAAAACGTCCTCATCTCTGTGACCCAGTGGGGCTGATGGTCACCAGGTCACCTCAGTTCACCTGGGGGTGGGAGAGCTGCCCTGTTCTACCAGCCCTGGCACTGCTGGCACACGCTGGCATCTCCTCCAGGSTGGGTGCCCCACACCCCCAGTCTCATTCCCTGCTGCTTCCCTCAACCCCCAGCCATGCCAGGAAGGCTCCCCAGCCCAGGACAGGGTTTTGGTTTTGCCTGGTCGAGCCCCTCCCCACATTCACTGATGTGCCCATTCCCACCATGTCGGAAACACTCCTGAGCTTCGCCTCTCCTGGCTTGTGTAAGTGAAACATTTGGTTTTGTGACACTTTCCTTAATTATGGGAGCTAATGACAAAACCATTGTGACAAATGACTCAGCTTTTGATAGTGAAGTTAATTAATTCTGAAGTTAGAGCCTCCATTGGAGTATCTGGAAAAACCCGATTAGGAAGCCTGCTTACCCAGCGTGACACAGGCAGAAGGAGCCCGAGTCCCTGTGACAGCCAGGTAGAACCCTCCCCAGGCTGTGAGGGATGATCTGCCCAGAGCCAGGGGATTAAAGGCCAGACATCCTGGTGCTTGCCTCCTGATCTGTCCCTCCATCCATCAAAGTATCCAGGGGAGCACAGCCTCTTTAATGTTGGAGTGAGTGACCAGGAGCAGCTCTGCATTGGGCGCTGACCTTCAAGAGCGTCTCCCTGAAGCCATCTTTCATCTCTTTCATTTGCATTACAATCCTGTTTGCCTCATTATTCCTTATCCACTTCTTCTTCAAAGGATTTAAATCAAATCAATTAAATTGTGGCAGGCGGGAGCAGCAGCGAACCTTTCCTTGTGGCTCAGCGTGGTCTGGCTGACTACAGCATGGGTTTAATCTTCTGCTATTTGTTCTTTTATTGCTTCTGGGCTACCACTGCCCACAGATGCCTTTGTTAATCGTCCACCCTCCCCACCCATCCCATGCAGACACGCTCCATGTGCAGGCTGGGCTTTGTATGACCTTGGGGAAGGGATTCTCTTGGCTTCCCTCACGCAGCCCGCAGGGATCACACAGGGATYGGGAAGATGGGGAGCTGCTGACCAYGGAGCAGCTCTGGGAGCCCTGGGGCACTGTCATAATGCTGGCTGTCCTGTGCCATCCCTTTCCATCTCCTCAGCTTGTTTTGTCTGCCCAGGGAATCAAAGAACTGTGGAACCATTCAGGTTGTAGAGCTCTCCAAGACCATCGTGTTCAAATGTTCCTCCAGCGCTGCCAAGGCCACCACTCACCCATGTCCCTAAGTGCCATCCACAAGGCTTTTAAATCCCTCCAGGTACRGGAACTCTACCACYTCACAACCCCTGCAGTGAAGAAATTTTCCCTGATATCCAACTTAAACCTCCCCTGRTGCAAATTGAGGTTGTTTCCCCATGTCTTATCACTTGTTCCTTCAGAGAATGGACTGACCCCACCTGGCTGCACCCTCCTGTCAGGGAGTCATGGGGATTGTGTTAGTACAGATGGAAGAAAAATGCTGGAGGAACGTCACAAGTGTGGGCAAAATAACGCAGATTTGGGCACGCAGCTGCTGCAAGTGTGGTCACCTGGGCCCCGGAAGCTGCGTGCTGCTGGCCCACACACGGCCACCCCTGCTCTCTCGGCATCTCTCAGAATAAAGAGGCTTAATCAGAATGGATTTCTGTTCCTCCCCTGCTATTTTTATTGCTACTCAACTGTCGGAAATCCAGCAGGGAGAGCGGAGCTGGTAGGGGATTGCGCCAGCTTGCACCAAGACAGGCAGCTCGTGCCACGGGCACTGCGGCTGGTGGCATGTATGGCATCGCTGTCACCCCCCGGCAGCACAGCACACAGGGACACACCAGCCTCACCACTGGAGTCCTGCTGGAGCCAGTGGATTGCAGCCAGCACTTCCAAAGTGTGTGCAGATATAAATAATCCCCTCGTAGGAGTGAGGAAGGATGAACACATGTGCTGAAGGCTCTGGAGTCCTTATCCCCTCACAGCCCCCGGGAGCAGGAAAATGGAGTGAAGACTAGGCAGGGCTGGAGCATCTCCTTGCATCGCTAATGACCCAAACTYGCCTTGTATCAGCCTCTCTTCCTTCAAGGAAAAACCTAATCCAGATAGGGATTATTTCTGACTACTTACTTCCTGTCACTTTGCCAATTTAAATGCAGCAGAGCTTTCATCACTGGATTTGGGAGGACAAAGCCTAACAGATCTCAGGTTAGGACATTTTTGCCTGCAAGGACAGCTTTTTTCTAGCAAGAGTTGTACAATCTTTGCAGTGTGGGCTGGATTTTGTTATTTGTTTCTACTTTGCCCAGTGCAGGAGGGTCTGGGTCCAGGAGCAGGAAGATGACGATGRGCAAGGCCTGGAACAGGAAGAGGTGATGGAGACAGAGATGAAGCTGGAGGAGCTCAGGGTGCCCTGGTCAGGGTGTCAAGCTGAGCCCCTGCAGTTTGAGTTGCAGAGCAGGATATCAAGGTCACCAAATTCTCATTGGTCCCAAATCCTAGCGAACACTGGGGAGGCCAGAGCTCTGAGCTCACTCCTGGAGCTGACACTCCATTCATGGAGCAGGGAAAGGGCTGCAGGGCTTGGCCAGGGTGTCCTCACCTCCAACCCACAGGGGCCATCACGATCTGACATGGACTTTGCTTCTGTTTGAGCTCGCTTTGTTCAAAGCCTAGGAAACGGTACATGTGCACTCTGCTCACACCTACACACGCTGTGTTAAAATAACACAATTAAGGCTGCAAAATCCCCCACTCGCAACGCAATTTGCAGCCCCTCAGCTGTGGGTGGGAGATATCTTTGCTGCCTCTGCGCAGGCCGGGGGCCGGGCAGGGTGCTGGCGTCAGGCGCTGCCCCACGCGCCGGTGACAGGCGGGGGGTGGCGGGGGTGGCAGGATGAGGGGTGTCGTGCCGGGGCTGAGGCAGATGTCCTGCACAAACTTGGTCTTTCCCTGCGCCGTGCTCTGAGCTACCTTCGTGGTACCCACGGGATTGCTCAGAGCCAGGGGCTTAGGAAAACCATGGGCTCAGGAAAACCATGTGGAGCAACTTTTTACACCGGCAGATAGTGGCAGAACAAGGAGGAATGGTTTTTAAATTAAAAGATGAGAGGTTTAAGTTGAATATCAAGAAGAAATTGCTCTCTGTGAGGGTAGAAGGCCCTGGCACAGGCTGTCCAGAGAAGCTGTGGCTGCCCTGGGATCCCTGGAAGTGTCCAAGGCCAGGCTGGATGGGACTTGGAGCAGCCTGGGACAGTGGAAGGTGTCCCTACACATGGCAGTGGGTGGGACTGGTTGAACTTTAAGATTCCTTCCAGYCCAAACCATTCTGGTGTTCTGTGATCCTTTGACGAGTGTCCCATGGCAGCCATGCCCAGAACTCATCTCAGTGTCCAGTCTGTGACCCCAAGGTGTCACTGAGAACCATCACGTGCCTCTGCCAGTGCCAGTCCCCAAAACTGAGAAGCGATAACCCCTCCTCAAAAAAAAAAAATGCACAGGAAAAAACCCAGCAATGCAGGGTGGGTGGGTCGGTGCTGCTGACCCCAACCCTTGTGTCCCCATCYTCACACTGCTCTGAAGGCTGTATCCCCTCCCAGCTCACCGAGCACTGCCACTCTCCGGATGGAAATGCTGGGAAGCAGGAGCTGGTGCTGTGCGCCCAGAGAGTCTGGGCAGAGCTGCACCGCCTCCAGCCTGAGCTGGGAACCAGGCACAGGGCCCGTGGGGAAGCAGGGAATGAACCAGGGTGATCCACAGCCAGGAGCCAGCGGGAAGCTGGGGAGGGAGCGCGGCGGGGCAGCAATCAGCGTGCCCTACCCGGGGAGAAGCACGAACGGTGATTYCAGGTTGAGGAGCTACTTAATTTTCGCATTCTTAATTTTTCAGTACCTTCATAATTTTCTGTTTGCCTTTTTGGAGTAAATAACGAGTATTTCCATGTGAGTGCATACAGATGAGGGCTGGGGAAGTACACGCCATCGTGTAAATCGTTCGCTTTCCCGTCTCACCGTGGCCCTGACAGGACCGAGAATTCCAAAGGTAAGTGTATTCTAGGGCTTGTTGGAAAGGTCGCATGAGTCATGGGCTCATCCAACCGGCTGGGGGATGTTTGAGAGAGATGAGGAGACAGCGGAGAGGGAGAGGGCAGGGGGGTTAACCCCTGGGAATTGTTCAGGAGTGGGCTGTGTGTACAGAGGATGTTCAGAGTCAACCAGCTCTTGGGCAGGGATAAACACCCGTTTATCGCCGGGGCAGGGACAGCTCCGTGTCAGCACSGGCAGCTGTGCCCTCCCTGGGGTCCGCTGTGCGGGTGCGGGGCCCCCAGCCCCTTGCCCCAGGTGCCRCCCGGTGCCCGGTGCCGCTGCGGCAGCTCAAGAGCCAGGCGGACGGGGGTGGGGGAATCAGGGAATCGAGCGGCCCCGTGCCGGGGGGCTGGGACGGGTAGGCGACTGTCCCTGAGGGGTGGGCACTTCCACCCGGTCCAGGTCCCGGTCCGTTCGGACAGTGCCAGTCCGATCCCAGCATCCCGGGGTGGGGTTCCCGGGGCAGTCACGGTCCCCGCCCAGTCCCGGCGCCCCGGGGTGGGTTTCCCGTCCCGGTCCCCGTTCCCCCGGCGCCGGTGCCGGTGCCGGTCGCTGTCCCCGCCGCCGGCCGGTCGGAGCGGGCGGGGGGCGGTGTCCCGGCGGCGCAGCCCCCCGCGGGTCCCGCCCCCCGCTGCCCCCCGCCCCCGCCGCCCCCCGCCGCTGCCTTGGCCGGGCGGCGCGGGGGAGGCGCCGGGAGAGGCGGCGGGAGCGCACGGCGGAGCCGCTCCGCCGGGCTGGGCTGCTGCGCTCCGCGGGCTGCGCTCGGGCCATGCCTGCCGCGCTCCCCGCGGCCGGGCCGCCCCGCTCCGCGCCGCCGCGGGGGCCCGGCTCTCCGCCGGCCGCGGGGGCATGAGGCGGCGGGCGGCGGGCGGCGGCGCCGGCCCTTCCCCTGCGAGCCGCCGCCGGAGGATGAAGCAGCATGAGGATGTGTGACAGAGGCGTCCAGATGCTCGTCACCACGGTGGGAGCCTTCGCAGCCTTCAGCCTGATGACCATCGCCGTGGGCACTGACTACTGGCTCTACTCGCGCGGCGTGTGCAGGACTAAGTCCATGAGCGACAACGACACGAGCCGCAAGAACGAGGAGGTGATGACCCACTCGGGGCTCTGGAGGACGTGCTGCCTGGAAGGTACCGACCCCCGCGGCCCCAAAACTTCGGGGGAAGGGTAGGATCGGGGAGCCCCCCACCCCAAATACGGGCCCCCGGCGAGCGGCGCATCCCCCAGCCATCCGAGCATCCCCCAGCCCGGCGGCCCCGCCGCTCCCCTGTGCCGCCTTCCGCTCCCTTCCTCGGGCACTCGCGATGGCACCGAGATGGAACCTCACGGAGGGCCGCTCCACGCCGGGCGCGGGGCCGGGGGAAGCGGGTCTGCGGGGTGCGGGATCCCCCCGTGCTGGGGACCGGCGCTGGCGGCGGCACACGCGCCGTATCCTCCCGGGGAGCTCCGGGCTGAGGGGCCACAGGTCCCTCTCCTGATCAGGAATGTGTGAGTGAGATCCCCGCGGCTGCTGCCCCTCTCCAAAGCTCCGCCGGCACCGCGTCCTGACCACCGGGCAACCCACAGCACCCGGCGTTTTCATCACCGAGCCCCAGCACCAGCGCCGGCCCTTTCCCCCTCAGCAGCCCAGCGGGGCAAGGTGGGCTGCTGCCTCACCGCAGCTCGTCCCTCTGTCCCCACGGCTGGGCACTCCCACAGCTGCGCTGCCCCACCACGGCTGCCCCACGGCCGTGCTCTTGCCTGCCCGGCCTCGCCGCTTCGCCCCGCTGCTTCCCTCCCGCAGCAGTGCCTGCCTGGCGAGGCCCCAGCAGCTGCCGCCCTCCTGCAGCACAGGCCACATTTTGGGGCAGTTTCACCCCAAAGCTGCCGGTTGAGGAGTTTCTGAGCACCCACAGGCTGTGGTTAAAGACGAGCTTTAACAAACCAGGTGCTGGTACCTGGCGCAGCAAAAAATGGCCGATGGCATCACCCTGGGCCCTAACTTTTACAATTGTGGCAGCAGTGGGTGTCCTGTGTGCTCAGGCAAACYTGCCCCACTGTCCTGCAGAGCCTTGGGGGTGTCAGACTGCCCCTGTCCAGGAGCGACCCCTCCAGTGGTGGGGGCAGGCAAGCCACGGGGCTGAGCTGCTCCTCCACGTTGGAAAGTTCTCGGTGAGTCACGGCCATGGATGCAGAAATACCCTGTCTGCTCCTGGTGCTCAGTCCTAAAACTGGCAAAGTCAGTCAGAGCTTTCTTATTGATTCAAGGAGGGTTTGGATCATGTTCTAATTCCATAATAAATAATTTGAGATAATCTGTCTCCCCTCTTGGGTTGAGGGAGCCAAGGAGGCAGAAGCCAGGGATGTGAAAGATGAGATCGCTGGAGGCATGAGTAATTTCAAAAATTCTTCAGTTTGCTACCTGTATTTTTTTTTCCAGTCGATGTTTTATGTTTCCCTCATTGTGATCAATCACTGCTTTGGAAGGAGCCAGAGAAGCCCCRCTGCCCTGGGCACAGCTCACTCGGGAAAGGGTTTGGCAGTGCCATGGCAGAGCTCAGAGCTGGATCACAGCCCACCCCTTTGAGCCCGGGCACAGGGCTGGGAGCGGCAGGGCATGGGCTCRCCGTGGGCTCAGCACTCCCTGTTCCACATCCTACCCCGTGCTGGTGCTCTGAGAGCTGTTGGGGTGGGAGTGGGAGTGGGAACCGTGCGGGGCTGCGTGGCCGTACCTGCGGCACAGCCGAGGCCTCGTGCGGGGCACGGGCTCCGTCATCCCCTGCGTGTGGGTGCGGGTGACACTGGGGCTGCGGGGGCTGCAGCATCCAGTCAGGGATGGGGAGGGTCCCAGCCTGTGCTGGGGGGGAGAATATGGGGCTGTGATGGTGCTGGGGGGACGTGCCTGGGCTGCTTCTCGCCCTCCTGGATTCTGCAGGAGAAAGGCACTTCACAGGCTGTTAACCAGCGCGATGCTGGGAAGGGAAAACTTCCCCCAGCCSAGCCGCCAAGGGTTCACGCGTCGGTGCGGGGGAAGGACCGTGCTGGGGCGGGGGCTGAGGACCCCCGCAGCCGGGGGAGCGCTGCGGGCTGAGCTCTGAACCTGTTACAAGCAGCAGGTCCCGGGTGATTCCTGCTGCAGGGCCTGCTCTCACTGTGCCGGGCTCGAAACAGGGACAGGGGGCTCCATCCCCGAGCACGGTCTGTCGCAGGGCCCGCTCCTCCTGCGCTGCACAGGATGCTTTTAGCGCTGAGCAGAGCTCCCTGCCCGTCGGGAGCCGCCTCAGCCCTGAACTTTGCGCCGCTACCGGGGGCTGGGTGCGYGTAACGAGGGAGGGATGGCGTGAGGAGCCCCCGTGGCTCGGGCGGCCGGGCGAGCGTGGCTCATCACGAAGCTGCCCGACGTGAGTGCCGGCTCCGAGCATCCCTGCCGGTCCCGGCGCAGCGCCTGCGTGGGAGCCCCGCACCACGTGAGCGTCACAAGCCCATCGGCGAGAGCGGATAAATGCTGAATGGAGCCGCCGCAGACCCATGGAGAGACACCCACACTGGGAAACACAAATTAGCGGTTGACTCAGTAGCTGGAACACCAGGCAGGTGTTCCCAGACTGCTGGGCTGGGATAGTCTGTTGGCAGTTCGCAGCGTTTGGATCCTGATTATTTGTTTCACGAAATGTGAACGCTGGGCAGGTGTCCCCTCGTGTGTCCAGCTCAGGTGGATGTCCCCTGTCGCTGTTTCAGTGTCACTCGTTTTTCTCTGTGCCTGCTGTGTCGGTGGGGAAGGGAGGGAAGCACACGGCACTTYGGGGAGAGAGCTGAAGTTGAGAAATAGCTGCTTAGGCTGGTGGTGKTTTTAAGAAAGTAAGAGAACTTTGGTTTTCATCAAACTTAATTAAATTCAGCATCATTAAATGCAGCATCATTAAATGCAGGGAGGCTCCGTGTCCTCCCTGCTGCGTGGTGTAGATTGGGACTGGCTCCATGGCATCATGCGGATCTGAAACAGGCAGAAGGAGCAGGAGGATTTGGCCAAGGCTGCTCAAAATACCATATTTTAAGGCGATGTGGTACTTTTCCTTTCCTCCTTCATTTCCCTCATCAGGATAAAGTGCTCTGTCATTTCTGGAGGAGGCCAAGCGTAGCTCTGCCTGCCTCCCTCACAGAGGATGCTCAGCATCCTGCATCCCTCTGGGGTGGGACGTGGGGCGTTTTGCAGGGGACACAGATATTTGATGTCCCAGAGCTGTCCTTTGGCTGAGCTGTCCCCCTTGGGCCCATTCTGGCCCCTGCAGTGTCCCCCACAGCAGCGCCAGCACAGCCTTTTCCAACCAACAGTTCTGCCTTGCTGAGCTTGGAGAGCTTTGTTCAGGGCTGGTCTTTAGGGATGAAGCTGCCTGGATTTAAACATAATATTGCAGATACCATTGGCTGACAGGACCCTGCCCAGTCCTTTCTACACCTGACCTGCAGCTCCTGCATGGTGGATGGATGGTCACTCCTGGAGGCTATACCTGAGGGTGACTGGCCATGTCCCTGAGCCAGTGGTTCCTCTGGAGAGCTCATGAGCTCCTCAAACTCCCCTTGAACACAAGAAATCATCTCTGGTCCCCAGGTCTCCCGTGGCCATGTGGGCTGTTTGTCTATGCCCTGCCGGTTGTGAGTCTGGCTGTACACTGAGGGCACGGAGCCCCTCACAGGGAGTCCCCAYGATGGAGGGACCCCCAGCCCATTTGGTGTGACTGAGCAGCATCCCCTGTCCCTAAACTGGAAGTTGCTCTGCTGGCTCCTTGCTCTTGGTTCTTGGAGCTGGCTCTGTAGAGGTGGCCATCGCTGAACGAGCCCATGGTGCTGAGCTGCCCAAATTTGCCTGACCCACCTCCCTCATTCGTCAATATTCCCATCAGTCTTTTCTCTGCCATTTCCCTCTTTTACTCCCAATTGTTTCATGTTTTATTCARTGCTCTCAATAAAGATGTTGTTGTAGCTCAGCACTGTCCTGGTAACAGGCAATCCTGTGCAGGAACATCCCTCAGATGACAGGGACCGTCTCTGTGAGCTCCCAGCCCCGTTAATAAAGTGCTGTTGATTCTGCATAATACAGGTCTTTAACTTTTTCAGGAGAGCTAAATCAAATACCCTGTGGAACTCTTAAATGTATTATGTTACCGACTCCCTTTATCAACTGAATTTGTAACTGTATCAAGAAAAATTCATGAAGTTTGATAAATCTATTTTCCACGAGGCCGTTTGACATTTGCCTCCTCCCCCGTTCCCACCTCTGCTAACCCACAGGCGGTGCTGGGGACACAGCTCCTGCCATTGCCCATCGCATCACTCTTGGCATTAAACCAGCTTCTCCCGTCTTCTAGAAATTCACCAGAATGCCAAGGTTTATTAAATCCATTTTAGATCTTCAGAAGCCTCCTCAGCCTATTCTCTGAATGCTCCTGGGAGGAAGTCCTCTAGTCCTCCCAGTTCCATGTTTACACTTTGCAGTCGCTGTTTAGCATCCCCCCAGCTCCTTCCAGAATACAGGAGCCTATTTGTCTCCAAGTACAGAACAGAAGTATCTGATGAATAAATAAGCATGTGTCACTTGTGCTCCATGACTGACAGTTACACCGTCRTGATCCAGTGGTGCTTTACACCGTCAGCAAAGCTCCTTCCAGCACAATGGAAGAATTCCTCTTGTTTTGCCTTGACCTTTCAGTTGCAGATTTATTTTAACTGGTTCCACCAGCCATGTGTGCAGCCTTTCCAYCTCAAAGTCCCTGATTTTTAATTTTTTAATTCAGTTTTCCAGTCCCCTTTCCAGTAGGCCTGGCAGGGGTGTGAGGCTCAGGAAAGCACCTGCCCTTGCTCYTGGATTTCCATTTTCCCCTGTTGGTTTTGTCTGTGGTTGGTTTTGGCTCTGCTGAGCTGAGCTGGGTCGCAGCGAAGGCGTTAAATCGGGCTGGAAGTGGCTGCCCTGGCCAGGCACCAGCTCTTCCCCCGCCTCCAGCTCCTCTCAGCCCTCTGAGTGAGGCCAAGCAGAGAATTTCCCCAAGGTGACAGCAAGATTGTTTCTGTTAGAAAGTTATTATCTTTAATTTTTAAAAGCGCCAAGCAAATGTCCCTGAGATTGCAATCACCCATGATGGAGCACTTTTTCTCG